TGTTTGTTGTAATACCTGTGGCACAGGGACTTCGTTAGCCCAAGGAGTCACCACCCAGCCAGGTGACAAATCTGTGAGAATTGGGATTTTTAACTTGCCCAGAGAGTGTTTGTTGTAATACCTGCAGCACAGGGACCTGGTTAGCACACAGAGTAATCACCCACCCAGAATCAGGATTTTTAACTCCTCCAGAGTGTGTTTGGAATTGATTTCTGATGGTGTTGTCACAGAATTTTAAAGGTTTTTTTTTTTAAGGGAAAGGTCTCCCAAGGTCAAGTCCAACCTTGTTGTCACTGCACCCTGCCCTGGGCACAGGGGAGGAACACCGTCACCAAAATTCGGATTTAATTGCCCCAAATTGCAGCTGCCCCAGGTGTGGGAGGGGAGGGAGTGAGCACAGTGGGTTTGGAGCCATCCTGGTGGATCAGGAAGGGAAAAACGAGAAATGGGTTAAAGGGTGTGAGTTACTCTCTGCTAAACACCCGAGTTCCTGGAGCTTTGGGAAGGAAAAGAATTGTTGTTGGCAACAACAGATCCTGCCGGGATCGCAGCCTGGCCTGGCCTGTGCTCCGAGGCACAGCCAGCACTGATCCACCCCTGGGCCACCATTCCCTGCTGTCCCTGCTGTCCCTGCTGTCCCTCCTGTCCCTTTCCCTGAACAACCTTTACAAGGATCAGAAGGGGGAGAATCAGCTCAGTCCAATCCTGGCAGATCCCGGGATTCCCTTAGGACAGATCTTCAGGACACACAATCCGTTGTCACCTCCATTCCCTTTGTCCCTCCTGTCCCTTTCCCTGCGCAGCCCTGACAAGCAGCAGGGGGAGATTCCCTCAATCCCAGCCTGGCAGATCCCGGGATTCCCTCAGGACACACAATCCATTGGCACCTCCATGCACAAAACCCCAGTCAAAGCTTTCCCTGCCTCCTCTCCAGCTGCCCCTTCCCCTTCCAGCAGCCCTGGGCACAAATTCCTCGTCCAAGGAGCAGCCAGGAATTGGTGCTGGTCTGAATTCCCAGCCCTGCTGAGAATTCCTCCCAGGAATTCTCCTCCACAGCCCCAGGAGCTGGGCTGGGAGAGCTCCTGCACCAGGAAGCGTCTTCCCAGGGAGACAAAGTTGGGAAAAAGGGCAGCAGTCCCACATTTGCTGGGATTTCTGCCTGAAAGGACGTCGGGGAACTTATTTTAAGCACTTTAAGGTCACGGTGACATTTTTCCACAGGAGCAGAGAGGAGAACAACCTGCAGGTGGAGGAGGGGAAGGAAGAGGGAAATGAGAGTTCCCATTCCAAGTCCTTTCCCAACTCTCAGCCCTTTGGAGCAGCCAGGGGAGGTCAGGTGAGGTCACAGTTGGAGCTGCACAAAAGGACCAGGCTCTGGCTCGCTGTAAGCCCGGCTTAGCAGGGCTGGGAGCGAGGTCTGAAGTGAAAATGAGCCAAGCTGAGCCCGGGCTTAAATCGGAGCTTAAATCAGGGCTGGACACAGAGCCCTGGACTCGGACACTTTTGCAGAGCCTGGCAGAGCTGGGCTGTGAGCTGAGCTTTTCCTCCCCTGCCGCTCCTGCTAAGGCTGAGATGAAATCACAGGAAGATGCAATGACCTTTAACTACTTCCCCTGGGCGGCCGGGCCAAGTGGCACATTCTGATCCTGCAGGGCCAGCGGCTGGGAAAGCAGGATGCTCTGGGAGCCCTCGCTGGAACCTCGGAGCTGGGAAATCCTGCGCCTTTTGTTCCTCAACGTGTCACAATATCCTCTGCCTCGGGCTGGGGGAAGAGCTCCCTCCTCCTCCTCCTCCTCAGGAGAGATTCCAAGGCTTGGTTCTCTCAGAGGAGCATCCCCAGCCCTGCCCAGTGTCCCCATGTCCCCCTCCAAGGGCTGCTGAAATCCACGATCCATCACTTTAACCTTTCCCAGTCCTCCACAAAATCTCTTCCAAATTTGCTTGGGGGGGAAACACACACACAAAAGTTTCATTTTTTTCCTCCCCTCCCCCAGTATAATTTTGCCTTCCCAATTTTGCTTTCTCAATTTTGCCTTCTCAATTTTGCCTTCCCAATTTTGCCCTTTTTTTTCTAGATAGACAAGAAAAAAAAATTGTCCATTTGCAACAGAGTTTTCTGCATTAGGAAATGCATTTCCATGATCCTCGTGGGTCTCCTCCAACTCTGGTTATTCTGGGATTCTCTGAATAAATTGATGCTGGTTGATGCAACATAAAATGTATTTATCACCTGTGCACCTGTCCTGGGATGGGTTTGGAGGTTTGGGCACAGCCAGGCCCCATGACCCAGTGCTCTGCTCGTGCTCCAATCCCAGAATTATTGACTCCAAGCTCTCCAAAAAGGTTCCTTTGATCCCAGTCACAAGACTCAGCAGTGATTGTTCCAGGGTTTGGAGGAAGAATTCCCTGGCCCTGCAGCGTGACTGCCCAGACTGCAGCAGCTCCCTGGGGCCTCCCTGTGTCCCTTGTCCAGCAGCCTGACATTCCTGAATATTTCAATATTCCTCACTAGAACCCCAATCCAGACATGTTTCGAGCATCCAGAGGCTGTACAGGTGAAGCTCTGGTGGTGACTGTTCTCATTTTGGTTTTGGGTGGCTCTGTCAGCTCGTATTTGTTTCTGGTCTGGCTCACAGTTTAGGTTTAGCACACCTTTTTGTGATTTTTGTTTGCTTTTTTTTTTTTTTAGTGTTTAATGTTTGGAACAGGAGCAGGAGACAGCCCCAAAGCAGAGCAGTGAGAGCCCCAGGCTGTCCCTGGGAATGAGGAGCTCTGGGTGAGGGCACAGTGGGGTTTTACAGGATCAGGTGAGCTGGTTCCTTCAGCTTGTCCTGGATTTTCGTGGTGACTTGGAGGACAAGGATCCATTTCCCAGGTGGAGAAGGGAATGAGGTGCCAATGGATGGAGAAAGCCAGGCTGGACAGGGCTGGGACAGGGAAAGGTGTCCCTGTCCTGGGCAGGGGTGGGATGGGGTTTAAGGTCGCTGCCCACCCAAACCACTCCATGATTCCCTGAGCAGCTCTGAAGCTCTCAGTGTGCCAGACGTGCCAAATTAATCAACCTGATTTGGGATCATTGACCGTTATAGTGCCCTCAAACTAAAAAAAATTAACATTTAAACAAACTCCAGGCTCTAGAGTAAGGGATGTCCAGGTAATTTTATGGTTCTCCTCTGGAGATGCTTTTAAATGTATCTCCCAAAGGAGAAAGAAATGTATTTCCCCCCCAAAAAAGGAGAAAAAAAGGATTTTCCCAGAAAGGGAAATAAATGTATTTTCCCAAAATGAAAAACAAGTGTATTTTCCAAAAAAACCCCAAAACATTATACATTATTTGGGAATACAAATACAAAATACATTATTTGGGAAATAAATGCATTTCTCAAAAAGAGAAGGGAGAATGGATCTAAAACTGCACAGGGTTCAGAGAGGCAGAGACCTTCACTGGGCTGAGCTGTTTGAGGACCTGCAAGCACTGAACCACCTCGGCCCCTCTCTCTCCTGCCTCTGCAATTCCCATTCCTGATATTCCAAGGAAATTCCCATTGCGATATTCCAAGGAAATTCCCTTTCTGATACTCCAAGGAAATTCCCATTCCATGTCCCCCATACCTGTTGGAGAACTGGTTTGGGAGCTGCCCCTCTCACTCCTGCCTCTGCAATTCCCATACTGATATTCCAAGGAAATTCCCATTCTGATATTTCAAGGAAATTCCCATTCCAATATCCCAAGGAATTTCCCATTCCCGTGTCCCCTGTACCTGTTGGAGAACTGGTGTGGCAGCTGCCCCTCTCTCTCCTGCCTCTGCAATTCCCATTCCCAATATCCCAAGGAATTTCCCATTCTGATATCCCAAGGAATTTCCCATTCCATGTCCCCCATACCTGTTGGAGAACTTTTTTAGGAGCTGTCTCTCTCTCTCCTGCCTCCAATTCCCAATATCCCAAGGAAATTCTCATTCTGATATTCCAAGGAAATTCCCATTCTGATATCCCAAGGAAATTCCCATTCCATTACTCCTCATACCTGTTGGAGAACTGGTTTGGCAGCTGTCTCTCTTACTCCTGCCTCCCATTCTGATATCCCAAGGGATTTCCCATTCTGATATCCCAAGGAATTTCCCATTCCATGTCCCTCATACCTGTTGGAGAACTGGTTTGGGAGCTGCCCCTCTCTCTCCTGCCTCCCAGTCTGATATCCCAAGGGATTTCCCATTCCATGCCCCCCGTACCTGTTGGAGAACTTTTTTAGGAGCTGTCTCTCTCTCTCCTGCCTCCCATTCCCATATCCCAAGGAAATTCCCATTCCCATATCCCAAGGAAATTCCCATTCCAATATCCCAAGGAAATTCCCATCCCAATATTCCAAGGAATTTCCCATTCTGATATCCCAAGGGATTTCCCATTCCATGCCCCCCGTACCTGTTGGAGAACTGGTGTGGCAGCTGCACCACCTCGGTGATGGCCTCGGGGTTGCGCCGGGCGATGCCGCACATGTCCAGCTTGCTGTAGCACTCCTCCTGCACCTCGGAGATCATCCTCTGGAACGTGGAGCACCTGCGGATGGCCAGGAACACCTTGGACGTGACGCCGTTGGCGATGCACTTCAGGCTCTCCTTCACAAAAGCTTTTCCCTGCAAACGGAAGGGAAAAGGCCCTGGAAGCTGGGACAGCGCTGGGAGCTCTGCGCTGCTTCATTTGTGGTTTGTCTTCGTTTTTTTTTCTGTCTTCACTCAGGGTCAGGATTAAAAACGCCATGGAGATGAATTTTCTCGTGTTTGGGTTTGGTTTTTATTCAATCTTATCTAAAGTACAGAGAGTTCTGCAGCACTTTTACCAAGTGAGCAAAATGGAGACAGATCCAGCTGCTACAAGGACTTTTAAACCTAAAGAGTCCAATAAAGAATTAACACCGATATTATTGATACTTTTAGCCCAATAACCAAACTCCTGTGACCCCCCGTGCAGCACTGACTGTCCAACCAAAAACTGCCTGAAATCCTGGAGAAGGAGGGAGATGAGCACAGAAAGAGACACCACCCAAAATCCTCCATCTTGCCCCACACCTGTTATTATATTATAAAAACCCCAAATCCCAAACCCTTCACCGTGTGCAATCACACACTTCTGTTTAACCACACACCCGTGATTTTAACTCCACCACTCACATTTTGGAAGCTTCTCCAAGGTCTCAGGTCCAAAGCTTTGTTCTCCTGGGGTCAGTGCCAGAAAGCACAGAAAACCCAAAAATTCCAGGTTTTTGGGATCCAATAGGAACCCTGGGAGTTCTGAACTTTCTGTGCTGTCAGGCACTGACCCCCAAAAACAGCACTGCTTGTGACTTGAGGCCTTGGAGAAGGATTCCAAAATTTGAGTTGGAATAGAATTGTGTAGTTGGAATAGAAGTGTGTGATATCATATGGTGAAGGGTTTGGAATTTGGGGTTTTTGAATATAGTAAACCCCAAATTTTATAATAAACCCCCAAACCCCAAGGTATGGGAGAAGATGGAGGTTTTGGGGCACTTGCTTCTTCTTCCTCCTTGTTCCTTCTTTTTGGTTTTAGGTGGTTTTTGGTTGGATGGAAAATTCTGCACTGCGGGTCACAAGTGTTTGATAATTAAGTCAAAAGTATAAATAATATAAATGTTCGTTTTTAATTGAACAGCTAGGCCTTAAAAGACCTTGAGCAAGTTCCAGCTCTATTTTTTTCTCTTTTAGCTTGTTAGCTGGAAGTGCTGTAAAACTCACTGTACTATAAATAAGAATTAATAAACAATTGAGTCTGAACACAAAAATCCATCTCTCGTGCTTCAATCCCGACTCTGACTGAAGAGGAAAATAGAAGATAAAACACTAATACAGCTTCACCAGAATTCCAGGGAATCTGAAAGAAGGGAAGTTATGGATACTCCAGCAGGCCTGGCTGTGCTAATTACCCTCCAGTAATTACAGACCTGCCAGGCATAGCAGGGAATGGGATTTGAATTCTCCCAGTTATTGCAGAGTTGTTGCTCTCAGCAGTTGGGATGCTCTGAACTCCCATTCCCAAAGATTGAGTGGGAATCCTGGAAGTGCCAGGACCAGAGATGGGGAAATTCTGCCCCACAGATGGATTTAACATCAATTTAATGCCAGCAGTTTAACACTCCTGGTTCGGACCTCAGGCGCCTTTACCAGCTTTTAAATCAGTGCTTGGGAGCAGGAGCACAGGGAACAAGGAGCTGTGTGAATTTTGGGAGGAAAGCACAGAGGGAAAGTGATTTTGGCAGAGCACAGCCCTCCAATATTTTCCCATTTATTCTCCCTGCAGCCCCGATCTGGCCGCGGATTCCCAGACCCAAACACTTCCAAGCCAAAGCCCAGCCCTGTGCCAGGTCACACAGGCAGGAGATTTATTTTGTTCGAAGAACATTTCTATTTCTTCCTGGAGAGGAAACCTTGCTCTCCGCCCCACGGAACCCTCCGTGCCAAGTCGGCACACGGAGCAAGGAGCGGGTGGAAAAAGAGCCCTGGAGGACGCGCCTGGAGCCAAAAACGGGGCTGAGAGGAGCAGGAAGGGCTGCAGGGAGGGGAGGGTTAATCCTGCCCAAAGCGCAGCTTAAATTAAGGCAGGCATTGAGCGGAGCTCTTAGCACGTGCTTGTCGGGGGCATGAAAAGGCGGCTCCCATTTATTCCTTATTTTCGACCAGGTTTTATTTTCGGCCGCGTTTTATTCTTGGCTGGGTTTGATCCCCGGCCGGGTTTTATTGTCGGCCAGGTTTTATTCATTCTCGGCCGGGTTTGATCCCTGGCCGGGTTTTATTCCCGTCCCCTTTGTGCCCGGGCTGTACCTGAGTGTCGAATTTAGCAGCGCTGTAGAGGAAGGATTTGCAGATGTCGTACATCCCGTCCGTGTCGCACGTGGAGTTCTCCAGGCAGGCGAAGGCTCCGCAGCCCACCTGGAGGGCACTGTTCAGGCAGCGAACCACCTCGGCTGGGGAGAGAGC